TTTTTTTTTTTTTTTGACCCGAATACTCTCTGTTTTAGGTGTATTAAAATATAGAGAACTACTTCATGCTGATGTCTGACATCGAATTTATTTCACTACCTACTCAGTTGTTAGAAAGTAACCATAATAAATTATGTAAGACATGATGAGATCGCCAACCCATACGGACAGTCCATGTTCCTGTGTACTAGTTTACACCAGTTCATGCATGTATGTGCAGCGTTTCATAGTAATTATTACTTCTTTCTTCAAGCTATTCATATGGGTCGTGCAATTCATATACCCTACCACACCAAATGTAATAAGGCTTGTTGTTGTTCTGTGGAAACATACCACTAACGATCCAATTAACACTAAGTGGGGTTGCTATAATTATTGTTGCAGATGTTGACTTTTTCATCGGATCGTTTTAAGAGCATCCAAAGGGAAGCCTCCCCAGAACATCAAAGCTATCTTGTCCAGGTCACAAAATACCAAGCAGCACAACACTGCAAGGTATAAAATATAATTGGTTGAAGCGAACTTGACTCAAGTTTAACATTCTCAGAATTAGTACAACCATCAAAACACAGCACAAAGCTTGCTTGACAATTTATATGATATTGCAGACATGGATTGTTGGAAAGTGGATCACGCCAAGAGAGCAAAGCTGGGCACCAAGTGGAACACATTTTCATCAATTTGTTGTTCCTCCTATATTACACTTCAGAAGAGACTGCACTTATGGTGATCTAGCTGCCATGAGAGTGCCCGATGATGTGGAAGGTCTTGGATACTGTGAGGTAAGCAGCGAGACCCTCATATCAGTTATTTAACTCTTACATAAACTTGGTCCACAAAAGACTTGACATATCAAGCCATCTATTTATAACTTGAAAAACAAAGACATGGTACAATCCATTGACTCGTATTTGTTAATATTAGTATCTCAATTCATATAAGTCAAATAAGATTAAATAAAGTAACATGCATACCTGAAGAATCTATGACTGATTGTGATTCTTCGATTATCTTGAGTATAGGTAGACTCACAACCTACTATATTCTCGTAGTTTGCAGAGAGTACAAAGATAATGGAGAAAGTGGAAAGTATTGTGTGTGTTAATTATCGACTTATATAGATCAGATCAATAACCGCTTTAATAAATAAATAAATTAATTAATCTGACATTATCCTTGATTTAGTCAATTAAGAGATAGAGAATAACTAATAACTATTGGGTCTTTGCTCATTGGGCTGGTCCATCTATCACAGTCCACACAAGATCATAAAAACTAATCCATCCGGGCTTATCAATTAATGCAAATCTACAAATATTTATAAATATTCCAACAGTATTAACATGCCTAATATATGTTTTATGGGGTTTTTTGTAACTGGGTTTTATGCAGTACACGTTGGAAAGAGGAGTAGTGCATGCGTGCCATGCTGGAGGAATGATTCATAGTCTTGAAGGCTGGACTCATCATGAAGTGGGAGCCATAGACGTTGAGAGGATTGATGTTGTGTGGAAAGCAGCACTCAAACACGGTCTAAGACCAGTCTCCACAAAGCCAACTCTGAAAAATTAATCTCTCTCTCTCACTCTCAATCATAAGATGATGGAGATATTGCTTAACTTTGAAGCTAAGGAACATTTTAATTAATGCGCATGGCTCTCTTTTCTGTTTTGGATGGCTATAATTAATTTGATATAGTTCAACTTTATAATGTTTTTATTTATATACTGTCATTGATGTTATGATATATAAATGTTTACATGTCCAAGTAGTACCTAATGAAGCGAAACGGGAAAGTTCCCTTAGTTTTGTGTTGCTTCTTTTGATCAAGCCTGATACTTATTAAACTAATCAACACTGTTTTCACTAATCTTCTCTAGTCATGAATATCCCAGAAAGAAAAGAAGCAATTTTAATTGGGGATCTATGTCAAAAGCAGCAGAAACATGTTTGTGCTTTTACAACAATGTGAATATATAGTTCTTTCCGTCATATTCATCTCCAATAAAAAGACTAATATTATAAGTTCAAGTTAGGAGAATTCATCCAAAATAGTAGCTTGTTAAGTATTTTCCTAGATTATAGCCATACTGAATTATTATTTCGATATCGACACCCATTTTTCATGATTTTTGGAGCAAAAAATAAGAGTTTTTTTTTAACCATTGTAATGGCAATATGTAAAATCATTGTTAAACTTTAGGAAGAAAAATAAACAAGTAGATAATTATGTATTTTTAAATTAAACATTGTTATGCATATTAATAATGGAAGTCTCAAACTGACTATGATTACTGAATTAGTTAAAATAAAAATAAAATGATCTAGATTTATAAGTGAAAAATGTTATAACTAAAATGGGCAAAATATCATAATTCATGTCACTTGCATGTAATTTCTCCTGTAGATGTGCACCTCCTTAAATGTATATATTTGGCCCAACCATTGAGCACAAGTCCTTCTTTGTCATTTTTAAAGAAGTTAAAAAGGCAAAAATATTTATGTAACGTTTTTTTTTTTAAGAGCATCAATATCATCAAGCGGAGAAAGATACAAATATACCTTATTTTAATTTAATGAGTGCGACTGTGCCACAATGGTTGTAGAAGGTAAACGCTTGTTATCCTCTTTTGACAGTTATTGCCACGTGTCACCACTTGTTGCCAAATCAGCCGTTAATTGATTTTTCTTGCCCTTTAACGTGTCCTCCACACCTTCTCTATCCTCTCATTCATCTCCCCCCTGTCCCCGGCTCTCCGCCCATTCCCTTGCCCTCAACGGATGTGCATCGTGTGCAGTGGTAACGGTGAAATAGATGAAAAATAGGCTCATCTTATTTATTCATTTTATCTAATGATTAAAAAGAAAATACGCATAAAAATGTTTTGTTATATGCAAAACACTTAATCTTTTTTAATAAAAAATTACTTCACAATTTAGATTCTAAAAAGTTATTAAAAATTCAATTTATTTTATTTTAAATATTCTGAGGAAATCGTTCCTACTCTACCTGATGAAATTGGATATCGTTCTTCCGCACGTGTCTCTTCCTTAATGTTATACCCACACACACACACACTTTTAACTTTTATTAATAATATTCACTACTTTCCTGAAAAAAAAAAAAACATATTCTTGAAAATCTTTTTTTTTCCCCTGCTGCCTTATCCTCTTTTGGCACCCTTTTCTAGTTTGATTTCATCGTCTTCCGTTATGTGCTGTAACCTCTTCTATATTTTTCTTTATTTTTTAGGTTTTATTGTTAAAATATAGTATAGGTACCATCTTTGTAAAATATTTAAATTAAATTTTTTATATAATTTTTTAAGATTTAAACTGAGAAGTGAGATATTTTATGTTAAAATAAAAAATAAAAAAGGATTTTTTTCCCCGGAAAAATAGTGAATATTATTAATAAAAGTTAAAAGTAAATATATACAAAACATTAAGGAAGAGACACGTGCAGATGAACGATTTCCAATTGCATTAGATAGAGTGGGAACGATTTCTTCAAAATATTTAAAATATAATGAATTAGTTTTTTTTTAATTTAGTTTGTGAAGTATTTTTTAATTATAGAAAAAGTTTGAGTGCTTTATAAATAATAAAGCTTTTTATGCGCTTATTTTTCACCAACCATTAGATAAAATGAATGGATAAGATGAGCTCACTTCCCATCTTCTTTACCATTATCACTGCACATGAGCATTTGCGTTCGGTGCGTGCTCATTAACTCCCGATCCTTCATTTTAATCTAAATTAATTCCTACTGTTCATTTAAATTAATTTTTAACTATTTTTAATATTATATTTATTAATATAAAAAAACATAATTTTTTAAATTTTAATAAATTTATTCATTATCAAAACTAATGCAAGTTTAATCTAACAATCTAATTTAATTATAAAAAATTTATAATTTTACAATTTAACTATTCAAATAAATTTTGAACAGTTTAAATATAATTTAAATAATTTAATTTAATATTAAAAAATTTTACAAATTAACCATTTAATGTACTTTAAATAATTTAAATTTAATATTAAAATTTTTTATTTTAATAAACATAATATTAAAAATTAACTTAAATAAACAGAAGAGATGAATTTGGTTGAAATGGAGCGTCAGAATTGTTACTAGTGTCGGTGAGCGCCGAATGCATGCGGGCGCCTGCACGTGATCCCCTCAACTATTTCACTCCCCCCATAGGCCACATCGCCGGCGCCATCTTCACTCACCGGCGAAATGTTCACCGTTAGATCCATGGCTGAAGAAGGCGAGTTACCATGACCAGAATTTCGGTGCCACCTTCACTAATTACTTCGATTCCGATCTGGCCCAATTAATTAGTGAGTAGGAAAATTATTCCGATCCCCGTCAGCCAACCCAACTTGGTCTTCTTTTTGTTCTCTTCCTTCGTGCCATAGTGCAGAGTACACTTCAAACACATAACTTGTTCTAAAATGCAGAGTACCCTTAAGATTCAGAGCCAAAAAGTTCCCCGGTTCGGCCCCGTGTGCATGTAACGGTTGTCTAGTTCCGCAGGGGGAGATGCTGAAGAAGCGCTCGGTCAGCAAAGAGATATTGAGGAGGTCTCTGATGCCGCCGCCACGGCGGTTCGGCTTCAAGTCATTGAATATCCAGCCAACTCCGAGCAGGCTCTCTCGGATTTCTACGGCTTAGCCCCTTTTTTTTTCTTTTTCTTTTTAAATTTCTATATCCGGTGAAGTGAAATTAGTCTTGGATTGTTGTACAATTTGAGTTTCAGTATTCACTGAAATTAACTGGATGACCCTCTATTCTTTCTTACCCTTTTCTTAGAATTTTGAAATTGGGTATTTCTTAATCTTGCAGGACCATTTCCCAGGTTTCAGATCTGCTAAATTGTAGTGTATGTTTTTCCCGTTCTCGCCGTTATTCTAGTGCTGGGTTTTAGAGACGAAAAAAGTAATGATTCAGCTGCACTTCTAGTCTGAGAGAGTTGTTATTGGAAAAGCACATGGTGGCTTCATGGCGTGTAAGGAAATTGAGGAGGAGGAAGATGAAGAGCGGAACAGGGGATAAAACAGGGGGTGGTTCGAGGGAGAGAATGAGAGGACAGAGAAGGTCTATAGGACCCGTAGAAGGGAAATAAAAGTCGATGGCTGATTTCCCAACAATTGGCAAGCGATTACCGTCAAGGAATATTATCGGACGTTTAACTCCTCAACGGATTTTGATACAGTTGTACTCATAAATAAAGTTACACATAATTCTTCTGAATTTTAAATCATACATAAATATGCTTTAATTTTTTAAATTTAATAATAAACTCTTTTCAGCTTTTAAGTTATTGTAAATAATTCCTAACTATTAATTATATATCTCATTAAATTTTATTTTTTATAAATTTAAACCCTCAAACTTTAATTGATATATGAATAATCTTCTTAAATTTTAAATTATATGTAAATAATTAATGTATGAAATTAATCACATAGTTATTTTTTATCTGCATAAATATAAGAGTTGGGGTTCATTGTAAAGTTTTAAAAATTAAAAAAAAATTGTGTATGTATAATTTAAAGTTTAAAGAATCATGTATAACCTAACCTTAAATAAACGTTAGGATCACTCTTGTATCTTCCTCCACTTAATGATAGTGCCTCTAAAAATTTCATAATTATTTTTACCCCTTATCTTTTTTTTTTCAAAGTTTAAGTATATTACTCTTTTCCATTATATTTATAAGTTATTTTTAATATATTTTACAAAACTAAATAAAATCTTAAACCAATTATATTTAAAAATTTAATAAGTTTGTAATTTGATCCTATTATATATATAGATATATATATGTTAATAATGTATTTTCTCTCCAATATTGAATGGAAGATAAAAAAAAAAGAAAGAAATTTGTAATAAAAAATTAATAACATACTCATTCAATCTTATTTATAGGGCAAAAAGATAATGATATTTTTTGTTTCATTTATAAGTTACAGAATTAAATTTTCTTCACAAACTTCCCTTCTTATCCTTCAATAAGAGAGAAAATATATTATTAAATTATATATATTTATAGGGATAAAATTGATAATTTATTAAATTTTTTAGATAGAGTTAATAATATTTAAAAATTTTTTTGATATCAATAAAATATTAAAATATATTAAAAATGATTTGTAAATAGCATGTGGTTTTAAAATAGTATTAGATGGCGGAGTAATTGATATTTATAATCATCTCATAAATTTTGGGAGGCTGATGACGCCAACGTTTGCAGCTTGCGGGTTGCAGCAGATTCAATTGAATCACTCAACACAATAACTCAGCAATCATCATTCAGATTTTCATACTGTGGATCAAATGAACTTTTTATGGTGTGTTTGGTAAGAGAAGTGGAGAAGAGAGGTTTGATGTTACCTCAAAGTAGGAGGAGAAGAGAGAACAAAAAATTATATATAATTTTATCTTCATTTTTTAATATTGAAATATTGAAAAAGTGTATATGTATTTTTTAACCTAATCACCATGATCATATTGGTCAAGGTATGAAAAATTTATCCCTCCTTTTTCAATTCGTTCAATTTGATAAAAAAATGTTTGGAAGGGGGGAGATTTAAAAAAAAAAAAAATCTCCCCTCTCTTTTAATTTTTCAAATCAAATAAGGGGAGGGGGGCAGATCTCTCCCCTCCCGTCTAACCAAACATGCTGTGAAGAAAACATTGGGCCAAAATATGCATGTAGCACAGGCTACCATTTTGGGTCAATGACTTATTGGGCTTTTAGTGTGCCTCTCTGCAGGCCCGTGTGACCTCGAGCCATAAAGTAAAATGACACGTGACACTGGTTGTTTCTGAAGACGACACGAGTTTCCTTCTGGAACCTCTTTGTAACCGCCACAACGGCGGAACTTCATTCTCTCCTGAACAAGTCATCATCGCATTTTCGGTTTCACACCGAGGCAGGTCAGGAAATGGAGAACAGAGCACGCCTTCGAGTTCACAAGACCAAAGGTTTCAAGAGCGGGAAGAAAAAGCATTTGGTGAAAAGGGTCGTTGATTACCTCAAATCCGATACTTTCCTGTATGCTCCTCTGCTCTCTAGTGTGCCCCCTGATTTTCGCTCGCTTGATACTCTCCATTCCTCTGATAGAGGTTGGTTTATTACATAAAGCTCTTTCTTTTATACTTGATTAGGGTTGGGCTTTGTTTAATATAACGTGTTTTTTTTTTTTTTTTTTCAAATGAGACAGTAGTCGAATTTAAAAAACCCGTCATAGAAAACAAGCCGTTTCTGGAGGAGCTTGGGATTATGTGAGATCTGATGTTTTTATGTATGCTCCTATAGCTGGTCCTCCTCCTTCGCTTCAAGGTATGCTTGTTTCTTCCTATTTATGCATACACTTGCAGAATATCTTGGTTGGCTAGCTGGTGACACATTTTCTGCTGCTCTGAAGTATAATAATATAGTTATTAGCTTCGTGTAACATGACCTTTT